GGGCGAGTAGTACCGGGGGCGGGGCGAGTGAGACGAGCAAAGCGGGCGAGCTGTGCGCACACTTGCGCCGCACGCTGGCCAGCGAGGAGGGCGCGCGAGCAGTGCTGCACTACTACATGCAACGTCTCGCTCACTCCCACAAACACACGCGTGCCGCAGCTAATAGGGCAAGTTGCACACACAAACATATTGTAACAAAACAGTTGTGATTCAACAACACTAGCCATACATTAGAAAAACTTTTTTCCCCACTCCTGCCTTTCCCCCACTTTTCTTAAATACAAATAGGTCTGGTGGAACGTAGAGATATGGAAAGGGAAATATCCTTCTTCTGTGAACCCTCTCCGCGCACTATTAAAGTTGGGCGAATCTGAATTATCTTTAAATTATTGTATTAAAATTCGCAGGGTCTCAAACTAGTGCTGTCGCAATCCGAAGATACCGTGGAGTTGGATTACAATGCGGATGTTAGTCCTGAGTGAGTCTATTTTTTTTAATCGTAAAATACTCCATATAGGTATGTGTTAAATATGATATTTGTATGGATAGTGAGTGGCTGGGTCTGCTGTGGCAGCTGCGACACTGGGGCGCGGTGCGGGGGGAGGCGGTGGCGCGCGTGCGGGCCGCCTGCCTGGTGGAGTGCGCGCCGCGACACCTGGCGGCGTATCTCGCCTTCCTTGCGGACCACGTCGATGCCACCCCTGAACTGGATCATACGGATATTGTACTTGTAAGTGCCACAAACAATACGTCAATGATCTCGATTTACTAGAAGTGCAGATTGGAAGAAAAAGTTTGCCTAATATGTTTTTTTCTTTATTTTAGAGCTATAACGTAACTTATATTTATGATAATAACTTTTTAAATATATTTTCCTCCAAGTAAAAATACGAAACCTTTTCTAGCACACAACGTGTATGTATCTTTGTTCAGGATTTGAGCCAAGTGTTGATGGAGCGGACCACGGTGACCCACTGCGTGCTGCCGCCGGTGGAGAGTCGCGAGGCTGGAGGTGCTCGCGACGACCGCCTGCGCGACCAGCACCGCGCGCTGCACTCACTCACGCGCATACTGCACGCGCATCTCAGACAAGTAATATACACATTCCCTACTATCTATTTGTATACTGACTAATTGTA